AAAACCGCGGCTCCGCGCGGAGCCGGATCGCCTCGTCGAAGTCGACCAGCGCGCGGTCCGGGAACCCCATCCGGAGGTTCACGCAGCCGCGGTAAAACAGCAGCCCCGCGTTCGTGCGATCGCGAAAGATCGCCTCGTTGAAGTGCCGCTGCGCGTCCTCGCACTGGCCGAGGCGGAACCACGTCATCGCGAGCTGCGTGTGGTACTCCGTGTTCTGCGGGTCCTTCTCGAGCGCCGCGGCGAAGTGCTCCGTCGCGTGCTTGCAGAGCCCCTTGTGGTAGTACGCCAGCCCGGTGAGGCTGCAGAGCACCGCGGTGTCGTTCAGCCCCTTCGCCCGCGCGAGGACCTCCAGCGCGGCGTCCGGCTCGCCGGCAAGGCAGCACGCGCCGAGGCTGAGCAGACTCTTGTACTGCGTCGCCACGCTCATGTGCGCGAGCGCGGCGGGCTGCAGCGAGGCCGCGAAAAACCGCCTCGCGAAGAAAAGGTTGCCCTTCCGGTGGTAGTGCAGGCCGAGCTCGTAGAGCCACGTCCCGTTATCCGGCTCCAGCTCCGCCGCCTCGCAGAGGTCGAGCTGCACGTCTTTGAAGGAATCCATCGCCGCCCAGAGCGCGGCCCGATTGCCGTAGATCAACGCGAGGCGTCGTCGATCCAGCGGGGTCTGATTGCGTTCAAGTTGAATGGCGAGCGAAAGATCCGATACGGCGGCCTGGAGCTCGGAAATTTTCCCCAACAACGACGCCCGCAAAATGAGCGCGTTGATAAAGCATGGGTTGAAACGGAGGGCGGTGTCGAGAAGCTTCAAGGCCTTAGTTAACTGCTCAGGGCCGTCTTGCTTGATGCTCCGCGCGGCCTCATAGTGTTCCCTCGATTTTCTATCAATTTCCTCGCTCGTGAACGTGAGCATGAGCGACATCTTCGGGGGTCTGCTTTTTCCTCAATAGAAGGAGAGAAGGTGAACTAAACCGATAAAGGGAAGAAGAAGAAGAAGAAGAAAAAGGGGATCAATATCCCACTCTTCCCTCCTCTTTTTTGTGTTGCCGTCTAAGTTGTTCTTCGGTAGATTCGCCCTCCTCTACTTTGTTTGCTAACTACTTCCCTAGTTGATGTGTAAAACGGCATGAAAGCCTGCGGGGAAAACGTTTTGCAAATAATAATGATGTGGAGACCACCTATGACAAAGGTTGATGTAATGAACACTCTTCTTTGCATAATTAAAATAACCCACTTTCAGCTTCACTAATGATAATAATAGTGGCAGTAGAAAAAAAAAATAGCAAACACACCACGCCTACCACCATATCCTAACCCACCATCTCAATCGAAATTGCGTTGCCTTCGCAGTTCGGATCGCGGGATGCCAACAATAGTCTTATCAGGCGTATTGGTAGGTAAAAACTTCCCCATGCTATGCGCGGCCTGCTGAAACTCTTGCCGAACCAACTGAAACTTTGCCTGATGCAGATGCCTTGCCAAATTGAGACCCCCCTCCCCGACATCCTCGTATGGATCCTCGATCCCCATGAAATAGTTAAAGCTGCCCTTCTTGTGCTGCGGAAAGATCCAGTTCATATCAGACCGTTGACTCCGTCGGTTCCGATTCAGACTCACCACCTCGTTCGTGTAGTCAAAGTGGTACGCGTAGAAGATAAAGAACCCATGCAATAGCCGCCCAAGTTGCACCGGATCACAGCTCTCCAGCGGGGAATAATCCGGGTATCGCGGGAGGTGGGCAGGGTGCGGGATCGCCCACGGATCCACCCACCGTATCTGCCGCGTAACAAGCATGTAATAAATAAACATAAGGGTTACCGCGTAGGAGGTAAGCATCGCGGCCGATCCAACACCGATCCCCGTCGCCTTTCCCCACGCTTTTGCCGCCATCGCGGCGTGACGGGTGGGGTCGGGGCCGGAGTGAAGGTAATGCCGAATAAGGTAGCTGTTCTTCACTCCGTAGCTCACAAAGGAGATATCCCACTTGTACATGAACATCTCGGGAACAAACCGGGGGTCGAGGACGTCGCGCGTGTAGTCCTCCCGCATCCCTCGTGTCATGATTCGACCGTCCGGGAAGAACCCGATTGCCTCAATCATCTGCTCCTTCGTCGCGCACTGAATCGCGGCGCGGCAGCCGTACGTCGTCCGCTCCACCCACACCCCCTCCACGTTCTCCCGCCCGAGTTTATCCGCGATGTACTCGACATCGCTGTCGTCCAGGCATTTATTGCGGATATCCAACAACGCCGTGCGCGCCTTACGATCCTCCTCGACGCTCAGAGGGTTGTAGCGCGCACGACCCACCTTCTCGTCGTTCGCGAAGCGCAGTTTGACGACGGGGGTGCGGGCCTCGGTGAGGCCAAGCATATGCGGGCGGAGGTAATGCGGCATGTAGCGCTTAATCACCGTCCACAGCTTATCCGTGCGCTTCGCCTGGATCTCGTGGATGGGGTAGGGGTCGTCGAACATGCAGGCGAGATCGAGATCGCTCCCCCACTCCATCTGCCCATAGGTGACGAGGGAGCCGCAGCAGTAGACCTTCGCGTCGGGCGTCCATTTATCCGAAAGCCCCTGCAGCTGCTGCTGCGCCCGGATGGCGGTGCGAAACATGTGCTCCGGGCCGATGCGTTTGTTGTTTTCCGCTAAAATGGCCCTCCCCCAGGTCGCATAGTGATCGCTTGAAGGATTCAGCTGGGTGGTATGACTTAAAGGACTTTTAAGCAAGCCCATGGCTGGAGAAGCCGAATTAGAAAGTACCAGGTGGCTGCATCTGAAATAGCGTAGAATGCCATTTCGACGCATTTTCCCTACGTTCTTCCCCTTTTAATTAATGATCTTCCTAGTAAACGAAGAAGGATCTAGAGAAGACCTACACTATTGGATCATGTGTTTAGAGAGAGAAGAAAGAAGAAAAATTAATATAGCGGCAGCGTATTACTAAGGAAAGTAAAGGGAGTCACGACAGAAACGTACATAAAAATGAGAAAATACTCCACTAAAAGCAGAATAGAAAGTGTACAGAGAGAAAACCAATCCTGCAGAACCTGTAGCGAAAGCAGTTCTCGTCGTCCATCAACCACGAACGAAGGCTAAAAAATGTGACAAAGCAACTGGTATGAAGCGGAACCAACTG